GCTATTTTTGGAAGGTTTCCACTGCGTACATGCAAAACTGCTCTCGGTTGGTGTGTAACAGACTTGAAGCTTTGGGCTTCAAGCCACTAAGTCAGCATCCCTGCCAAAGGTTTGGCCAAAGCTCTTGTTTCAAGATCTTCATGTTTCCACACCTGCATTCAGGCTGGACTTCATCCTTTCTTGGCTCTGTGCAAGTCAGAAGTGAAGAGGGAGGAAATACGTGGTATTCATCAGCCAAATGGGAGAAACTATGTGGGGAAGTCAGCAGTTCCTGGGCATTTCAGCTCCCCCTGCCAGGACTGGTTCTGCTTGCTTCTTCCCAGCCCCAGCTGGCGATCACACTTCTGCTTGTCCTGTGAAGTTACACTAAGGGAGTAGGAAACTAGCCCTCCCGAAACCTACCACCCAGCATATCCCAGGTGGAGCTGAGCTGTTAGTCTTGTAGGCTAGGGTGCTTCATCTCCAAACTTAGGAGAGCCTCTAAAAATAAGGTTAGCCAGGTCCAACGTTTCTCCACCGCCTCTTCCACATTGTATTACCCATCTGGCATTTCAGTCAAGATTTGCATCCACTCTTCTCTCATTTTTCTAAGTAAAGACCTGTCTATGTGAGAAAGGTACAGGTATGAATTTGCAGTATGCTTGCCATCTCCTGTGGTGAGGGTCTCAGGAGGTTGTGAGTGCAAGGTGTGTTAAATCCCATGCAAAGGCCCTTTAATGTGACCTAAGCTTCTTCCCAGAGATGGTGCAAATTAGCAGATGGGCTACAAAATAACATTGGCTTATTGCATGCTGTGTTTCCTGAGAATACCAAGCTGAGGGTATTTGTACTCTTTCCTTTCTAATAGGTCTAAAACCACTCTCTTTTACTAGCCTGAGGCAGGAATGTTTGTTAGCCCATCGCTAGAGATTGAAAACTTAAAAAAACAGCTACTATTGTCTCCTGAGATGTCATCATCAGAGATGTGGGACTCTGTCACCTTTCCATGGAAATGTAAGCATGATAGTTATGCTCCCTGGGAGGAAACCGGTTAGCACGTTGCAAAGAACAGAAGAGTAAAAGAGGAAGAAACAAAAGCAAATGCATATGACTACAGCACTTTGTGGCTTCTGCAGTGGAAACAATACTACAGAGTTAGTGGTGGCTGCAGAGAAACGCCTAACGGCATGGTTCTTGTCATGGTTGCATTTGGTCCTCTGATTTCCTGTGTGTCTGTGTGTCAGAAGTTCAAGATTTCTAGCAATAGAGTGGACTAACCAGAGGCCAGGTATCCTTAGACTGAGCCTAAATAAAGATGAGTCTGGTACATTGTACTAGGAGATGCTTCTTTTTCTAGCTGGGCCCTTATTTTCTGTTGGGCTTGTGTTTAGCCCAGCAATGTTACTTCCTCTGTAATGAGCAGAAGGGGAGACAGGGTGTCTGCAGTGAACAGAAGAGCGCGAGGACATGATGGTCTCTGAGCCTGGTAAACCTCTCTTTGCCCTGCTTGGCGTAGTGGTATGTAGGCTGTGGCAGCATGTGGCTTCTGAGCAGTACCTCTCCCTGCACTTGTCCTCTTCCCTGGACGGTGCTGCCAGTCGGCTGGGGAGCTGAGTTGCTGCGGCTGCTCTGCCAGTGCTCTCCCCCGTAGCTGTTTTGGGAACACATGTCCCAGACCGCCTCACTGGAGGTACACGCTATCCTCCAGAGCTCCTCCTCTGTAGTAATCCAAAGCTGCTGTGCTTTCCAGAGATACCTGCTAGCCCTCTGACACTCGCTTGATAATGCCTTCCCTCAGCGCTTTTCCCAGAGAACCAGAGACATCAGTGCAGGGGCTTCAGTGCCTCTCTCCTAGTAGCTTCCAGAAAATCCTTGCCTCCTTATAAAACTGGGACCAAAGGCCCATCTCTATTTTCTCATTCACTGTTTCTAAACCTTCTGGCTAGCCTTTGTAGAGGGCAATACCACAGTAATACCCTCTCCTCAAATTACGACATGGCTGTGCTGGGCCAGGACCACAGCATGATGATGTGAGGGGAGAGTTAAGCTGTGAGGATACTGCTGTTTTGCCACTTCCTCTCTGGCAGCGAGCTTGAGGTGAGAAAGCTGACTGCTTTCTCCTGGTCCAGTGGGTTCTGGTGCTGCAGGAGGTTTCTGACCCTGGTTGGAAAAGGGGGATCCTTTCTAAGGCAGCATGGATTCCCCACCATGCCCTGGCAGGAGGGCAGTGTGGCAGTCTGCTGGCCCAGCTTTTTTACTGTGCCCAATGGTACAACCTAGCAACTGTGACATGTAGTCCTGTAGCAAAGGAAATCAGTGTAACAGAACTCTGAGATCTGGGAGGGGAAGGTGATTTTATTATGTAATAGTGCGAAGCAAGATTTTTGCACAGTCAGACCTTTGTACTCAGAAGCATCAAGGCCTGGTGTGATTTGTGTGATGCGTAGAAGACGAGGGACAACGGCTATTGAACCCTCACCATGTCTCTTGGGTTCCTCTTGACTGGTGACAACAAACCCATTTTTGAATAGACCTTTTATATCCTTTAGGAATGGTTTCTTGCTATTAACTACTTATTACTCTAACAGGAAAAGGGATGGCATGGTCAGTGTGCTGTAATGGGGTTGCTGGAGCACTGGGTCTTCCAATCTGAGTTGTCTGAGCTGTGATTTCATCAGAGTGCAGGCATCTGGGCATGGCAGAAACTTGAACTGGAAATGGTGGCCTTCATTATCAATACAGGCCATCCTTTTAATCCTTGTTCTGCTGTTTTTTCTGGAGCTTTACCCCTCTCCCTCTCTTACACACACACTTGCGCGTGCACACACACACACACACACACACACACACACCTCTCCCGTTGTATTTCATTCATACCAATCCCAATTTCTGTCCCAAGCCCCTGCAGCTGAAGGCAGGCGGTATCCAGTGAGCAGGACTGCCCTGCACAGGCTCTGGGGGAGGGGGTCTTGTAGGACCTTAATATTACTTCAGGGAGAACGCCAGGACTTAGAGGGAAAGCGTTATGTTCTACGTTTTGTGTGCTGCAGCATTTCTGTTTTCTTCTTTCTTTGCCTGTATCTGGCTGGAAGATTTTACTGGCTGCTGTTGCAAAGGCATCATGCCAGAGAGGATCTGACACGAAATCCTCACCACCGCTATCTGTTTCCTATTAGGAACGAGAGTGAGGATTATATCAGCTTCTCTCTATTCCTGGGCCTAACAGCTACCCCTCCTCCCAGCTTCCTTCCTCACTATCTTTCAAACATCAGCTTTGGGGCAGATTTTTGGCTAGACCAAGGCTGTGTTACCATCCTCTCTCAAGCTCACCTACCCTTGGCAGCTCACTCAGCCACCCTGTGAGGATGCATATGCAGCACCGGCCAGTCTCTCGCGCTTGGGAGGTCACTGTGAAGAAACTGATGTGATGGTTCCCACAGGAGGCACATCTCCTTTCTGTGTGTGATGCCTTCAATCATCTTTGAAAGGACACGGAGAACAGCAGAGGTGCCTGAGGACTGGAAGAAAACAAATGTCACTCCCGTCTTCAAAAAGGGCAAGAAGGAGGACCCAGGGAACTACAGGCTAGTCAGCCTCACCTCCATCACTGGAGAGGAAACAGCTCATCCTGGATGCCATCTCTAAGCATGTGAAGGACAAGAAGGTGACCGCAGGAGTAGTCAGCATGGATTCACCAAAGGGAAATCATGCTTGACCAATCTGATGATAGCCTTCTAGGATGGAATGACTGGCTGGGTAGATGAGGGCAGGGCAGCGGATGTTGTCTACCTGGACTTCAGCAAGGCTTTGGACACTGTCTCCCATCACACCCTCCTAGGCAAGCTCAAGAAGCGCAGGCTGGATGAGCAGACAGTGAGGTGGATCGAGAGCTGGCTGAATGGCAGGACTCAGGGGGTTGTGATCTGTGGCGCAGAGTCTAGTTGGAGGCCTGCATCTAGCGTTGTCCCCTGGGGTCAGTACTGGCTCCAGTCTCGAGTTCAACGTATTCATCAGTGACCTGGAGGAAGGCACAGAGTGCGCCCCTAGGCAGGAATAATCCCATGCACCAGGACAGGCTGGGGGTTGACCTGCTGCAAAGGGGCTCTGCCGAGAAGGACCTGGGAGTCCTGGCGGACAGCAAGCGGACCATGAGGCAGCAATGTGCCCTAGTGGCCAAGAAGGCTGATGGTCTCCCGGGTTGCCTTAGGAAGAGCATTGCCAGCAGGTGGAGGGAGGTGATCCTGCCCCTCTACTCAGCCCTGGTGAGGCCTCCCCTGGAGTGCTGGGCTCCCCAGTACAAGAGAGACATGGAGCTCCTGGAGCGAGCCCAGCAAAGAGCTACTAGGATGACTGAGGGACTGGAGCATCTCTCCTGCGAGGAAAGGCTGAGGGTGCTAGGCCTGTTCGGCCTGGAGAAGAGAAGGCTGGGGGGGGAGAGGGGGGGAAATCTGATTGATGTGTATAAGCCTCTGAAGGGAGAGTGTCAAGAGGATGGGGCCAGACTCTTCACAGTGGTGCCCAGCGATAGGACGAGAGGCAATGAGGATAAACTGAAACACAGGAAGCTCCTGTGTTTCATCTGAACATGAGGAAAAACTTCTTTCCTGTGAGGGCGACTGAGCCCTGGACCAGGTTGCCCAGAGAGGCAGTGGAGTCTCCTTCGCTGGAGATATTCAAAAGCCGCCTGGACGTGATCCTGGGCAATGTGCTTTAGACTGACCCTGCTTGAGCAGGGGGGTTGGACTAGATGATCTCCGGAGGTCCCTTCCAACCTTGGCCATTCTGTGATTCATAGGATGGCTGTAGGAGATGAGGTCCCCCGTGGGGCCTCAAGCTGTGCTGGCAGATTTTGGTGCCTTCTTGTGTTTTCCTGCTTGCCAGCTGACACCCCTCCTTGAGGAGTTAGCAGAGCAAGAAGTATTTCTGTCAGTGCAGCTGTGCAGAAGCCAGAACGGAGTAGTGCTCAGATGAGCGATGGGAGGAGGGGAGGGGGCATGAGGGCTGTGTGGGCACATCCCACGGTCATCTCCGTGCGACACAGCATTTTTTCACCTGCCGGCAGCTATCATCAGGCGAGGAGACACTGGAGTTTTTGACCCTGAAAATGAACCTTAAGAGGATTTTCCTAGTCAAGTGCTTGCTGCTTTTATTTCCCAGTGTAAAATGTGAGTCCATGTTATCATTTTTTTGCTTTTTCTGCCTAGCTTTGTTAACATTGCATTTTAAAGCATATAAAATTTGGTGGAATGTTCCTGATAACAAACTGGCTCCACTTCCCCAGTGGGTAGAGTGTCTGGAGACCTTTGGGTCAGTGCTATTATTATTTGATTTAGCTTTCAGCCAAGGGGAGAGCAGGACCAGAGTTTTCCTATTCCAATTATAATAATAATCAGTAAACAGTTCAGGTTTTAAGTTAATGAGCCTTAATTTGACACATGTATAACGAGAAATGTCAGCATGCTGTTTTCTTTCTGCCCTCAAGGTAGCTTGTAGTACATTTGAGATCCAGTTCACGGTGCATTGTGTAGAGCCATTATCTCATGTAATTTTCTTTTCTTATCAAAGAGGAGCAAATCTGTTGAAAGTGCAAACTGCATTCCTCCATAAATATTAACAGAAGCAGAGATCTATTCCAGCAGTTGTAAGTGGAGGTGAAGGAGTCTAGGCTGTGAAAAACAGTAACAAAATACATATTTGTTGTATATTTTGTGTATTATTGCACTCATTACTTTTTAAAATATTAATCTAAAAACTTAATGAAGGTCTTAACTCACAGACTGGAGAAGGTTATAAAAAATGGAGATAATACAATTGCTCATAGGTTTTATTTCCGTTCATTCAACTGTAGATCATATGTATGGCTTTTTAATGCTTTTTTTCTCCTCCAGAACAAAACGAATAGATAAATAAGGAATTTATTTTTGTAGTTGATATATAAAACATCCTACCTAGCAAAACAAAGATTATTCATGTGAATAGAACAACTTGTTTCAAATATATACAAAACCTTAAAACAGAAGACTTCCTTACTTTTATGAAGTCACTAATGGAGCCTTTCCTTTTAACTCTGTGCCTGTGAACGATCTGATTTTTCTTGTGATTGCAAGTGAGCTCCATGCTACTGGTTCTGATCTTTCTGCCCATTGAAGAGCATTTCAGTTGGCATTAGCAGAAATGCTGTTTCATTAGCTGGACGGATTTTTAGAATTGTGTATGGGGTCTTCAGTTTTCTGTCAGCGAGACTACGGAGAGTCGTTAAACAGTCAGACAGAGATGTGGCTAGATGATAAGTCCATGGAGATGCCACTGAATTTTCTCTGAAAAGTTAGATTTTTTTTGTTGACTTCCAAATGAAGGAATAAATGGTTGTATGCATTATACAAAGAAATCCTTCTACTAGCTCTAAATACCTGTGGGTGACTCTGAGCAGAAACAACTACCAGAATTCAAATATTTGGATATAATCTGGAGTGTCATCTGTGTGGAGGATTGCCGCTTCCCGGATTGATTGATAGTTTGAATTCAGAATAGTTCATTAGACACATCAAATACTTTGTAAGAAATGTGATAGTGAAATAATAACCTCTCCTTAGACTGGTGGGCGAATTGCTGGGAACACTTCAGTGTAATTTTCTTGCTGCAGAGGCACAATATTTTAATTCCTTGATTATCTCTAATATTGATGGTTTCATGAGGTAGGAACTGGATTGTAGTTTCCCCTTTGTGATATATTTTATCATTGTCCTAGACACAATGAATAAAGGATTATATTCTGTAATAAAGGATTGTAATAAAAAATGTATAAACATTTTTTCTCTCTGTGAAGAAGTGCTTGAAATAAATACAATTAGAGCAGAATCAGCTCTATCTGATAATGTGAAGTGAAATCCCATCATACCTACCAGCTTTCTCCTATAAATTGAAGAGGAAGTAATGTAGAAAATGATGAATGAAATAAATAAGTTCTGATTTCAAGTGAATATTCAGTTATTAAAGAGCATATTTAATCTGGCGCTTGTAAGCACTCTTCCCTCCCTTTCTGCAAATTTTCCACCTGCTATCATGGGGGAAGGCAGTGCTTTATTTGAAGTGACCTCCAGACAAAATGTGCATGCAGAAGCCCCAGAGGGCTCTTTACGCTCACCGCAGAGGTGTGCGCGCCTTGCCAAGGCCATGAAGCGGTGCTGGGGATAGATGGGGGTGAGGCCCAGCTGCAGTGTGAAGAGTGTGTGATCTCTGTTGCTAATCATATGATTAATGTTTAGCAGCCTTGGTTTTCTTGATGCTATCACCTTCAAAAGTCGCACAGTAAGTGCTACCCTGTCCTGGCAGCGCCTTTGTGAAGTAGGTTACCCGTAGCTATTTTGCGGAAGGGATTTATGATCAAATGAGATCTGCAAAGAAAAAAAGATGGCTTTTTTTGGCCTTTGCTTATTTCCTAATATCACCAACGCCCGATTAGTTCAAAGGCTACGGTTAGCTGTTTGTTTCTTCCCCCCCCTTAACTTTCCTCTCCGTGATCCTGTGTTAGAGATACCAACTGTGAATGCTCCGGAGGGGCGGCGTGCTAGGGATTGGCAAGAAGCGGGCATGGGGAGCTGCCAGTGCTGGTCTTCATCCGGTGCGATGTCTCACACTCACTTACAGCTTGACACAGGCAAATTTTTGAGGCTGCTATTATTGTTACTGCTGTCACTACTATTACTGCTCCTTCTATCCAGGGCCAAGACTGGTTCATATTCTTGCTACCCACAGTAATATTTGAAGTGATGAGCACTCTGTCAGCAGTGTCAAGTGCAAAAAATACACTGAAGAGGCCTGATTTTCAGAAAGGATTAAGTTCAGAGTTAAGTTTCTGGACAGCCATGAATCAAGGCATCCAAACTCTGTACAAATAAGTAAGTCAGCCAGAACATAAAGCCAACTTCTGAAAATCAGGCCCTTAACTTTCTAGTGTCTCAGAATTAAATTGAGTGCTGATGTTTAACTACTTAAGGGTCAAGAGAGGCTTTGGAGCATGAGGTGGAAACAGCCACAGGAGCGAAGAGAAGCTTAGGGAGCTCAGAGAAGAAAATACAACATTTTGGGTCACCACTGCTGGGGCTGGTAAAGATGCACTGACAGGACCGGTTGTGCTTCCCTTTAAAGGTGCTGTCACCAAATGGATTTACAGGGCAGTGAACGACTCTGCTCTTCTTCATGTCCCTGCTGCTGGGACCGTACACGAAGTAACATGGATGAGAGATGAGAAAAAGTTACTTCAGATAAAAGATATGAAAACCAAGTATTACGTGAACAAGGGCCAGTGCAGGTGTAAGATACTCCTGAATGGGACTCTGCAAATTGAGCAGCTGGTGAAAAATGATAGTGGAAAGTACGGAGTCCTTGTTTATGGAAAGGATGGAAAGTTTAAGGCAGAAGAGGACACAATGCTCGTTGTTCAGGGTGAGTTTTTGCTCTTCTCATACCACACTCAGCCACAGCTGAGTAAGTCTTGGTGTTCGCGCTGTCTCATACAGCCTTTGCTACTCACCCCCCCCCCCTTCCTATTTTAGGGGAAACTTCTTAGGGGTGAGATGTGCCACCTTAATCCTCTGCTAACAGCAATCTGCCTCTTTTCTTCCCTTCTCTCGTTGCTCTTGATTCTGTCTGGTCCCCCTTTTCTCCCTGGCTCCTCTCTTTGTCAGCCACCAGATTTCTGCATGTGCCCAAGCAAACAGCCATGAGCTTAGCGGCGGTGTGGGTACGGCCATGCTGCAGCATGGCAGGCAGTGCCGGGACTGCTCGGGGTGCTGACTCCGGAGCCAGGGCAACACCGCGTGAACAGGGCTGCATTGCTTCCAGCAACATCTTGCACAACCTGTGTGAGATGTGGCAGCAGCTGCTGCTGCTGCACTGTGTGCTTGCCTCAACGTGGGCTTCTGGTGCTGTTTTGTTGGTACTGAGTTAACGCCTTTTTGACCTGCAGCTGCTGATCCAGAAGGCTTTGTGTTATATCTGCCAGCCCCATGAGGAGGTCTCGGAGCTCGGATGGCACTAGATGCCTGTATTGAGGCAATGGGATTGCACTCATAGATTTTTCTCTACCATGCAAAATATCCAGGAATCACCTCCACCCCCACCTCGAGATACACCATAAAAGGCAAGGAGTTGTAGGTGCAGGGGGAGGAGACTCTTGCATCCCATCCTTAGATAGCATAATACAAAAAAATGCAGATTATGCTGTTTAAAGCAGACTTAATCACATGCCCAGAGTATTCAGCTGCACGGATTCAAAGCATGAAGGCAGCCTCAGCCTACCGAGGCAGCATTCCTGTGCTGTACCTTGTCTCAGAGACTGGAGAAGCAGCAGCTCAAAGCTTTTGGGACATGCAGGAAAGATGGGGTTAGCTATTCTGTCGTGCCCCCTCTCCAGACTGCTAAGCCATAGTGCAGGATGTTTTTTTTTCCAGCCAGAGGCTGGTTTTGCCCTGATCTTCCTCAGCCCACATGCACATCTCTGCCAAACAACACTTGAGTCTGTGGGCACCAGCTGGCACCACTGAAACAATGCTTTGATGAAGCAGCAGCAAAGACAGCTGGAAGGGTTCTAGCACCGTTTCTATGCAGTGGGAAACCCCATAGCTAACCAGCTATTGAGAAGCGAGGGTTTCTCACGCTGGGAACTGTTGTTACAAGCTATCTACAGATTCAGGAAGCCGTTGGGGGCCTGATTGTACTTAACTCACACTTGACTCTTGTGAGTGTTCTGGGTTCAATTCCACGTTAAGGCAAAAGGTTGCATCCTAGCTGCATGATGGAACTGTTCATCTGCTCTGCAGTGGGGAGACTCCTCTACCTCCGATATGTAGTTTTGGAAGTAAAACCCTTTAGCAGGTTTGAGGTGCTAGGGTCGTCTCTCAGCCAAATTATACTTTATTATTACAGCTGGGAAAATAGTTGTTCTTCAAAAAATAATAATTTAGCTGATGACATTATCACACAACTCCACCACTAGGACCTGGACTCTCATACACAGTGTTTCATGTTGGCAGGTTCCCCTAAAAGGTATGCTATAGCTTGCAGAAGAGGAGCAGGTTTAATGAAAAAAAGGAGGTTGCAGACATCACAGTGTGAACCCAGACTTATTTGCTTCAAACAGCCCTTCCTGGCTTTAAAATGCATGTTCCCCAATAGCTTACGCTGCCTATACCTAGCAATGCCCTGGGACGCTGTTATTTACCTGGTGTAAAAGACAGAAAGTATTTTTTTTCCATCTGATGTTCCTGCCAGTTGACCCTGGTTGAGGAAAGTGCTGCAAGCTTTTCGGTTTTGTGCAGCCTCAGCAGTGACAGAGAATCTGCAACTGAAATGTAGCTAGGCGTGTGCAAGACTTAGAAAGAAAATGTAAATCAGTTCTCTCTTTCATAGTGTCATTGAGACCTAAGAGGGTTTTGTTTTGTTTTGTGTTTTCTACTTTGTTCTGTTCTGATGGGTTTTCATGCTGTGGTGGTCATGCTAGTTGAGTGCCTTTGGTGATACATTAAGCATCATAAGTAGCTGCGTGTCCATCTACCTGAAGGGCATGGCAAATAAGAGCTGGCTTCATTTTCATCAAAACACTGGAAGCAGAGTGGCAGAGGGCTGAGTCTCCCCAGTTTGCCGCCTCCCCCTGAAAACACAACTTCCTCCCCTACCCTCACCTGGCTGGCTGCGAGCCAGGCCAAGCCTGACTGTAGCCCAGCCGTTTTGGTGCAGCTCTGCTTTGCTGAAACACTCTCGGCCTGCTTCCAGATCTCGGTAAGGCCGAGCAGAGCGCTGCAGTGGGGCGTATGCCTACCTGAGCCGTGCTTACTCGCACATTTACACAGCCCGCTCTGTTTTGAAGTCTAGATGGCATGCCCATGGCACGCGCGCTCATGCCAAAGGGCATGGAGAGGGATGGTTCTGTTATACGCCACAAAATAGGCTTCGCCTTGCTTCCTCCACTTGCTCCGTGCTGTGCTTTGCACGACAATCTCTCTCTGTCTCTTGGGAAGAGAGCGAATGCCGCCTTATCTCTCTCCTGCCTGCTCGCAGCTGCGTCCCCCTGAGTACCTCTAGAAATACCAGACCAGCTGATGTGAAGCCCTGCCTGGCTGCTGCCATCAGAGGCATGTTTGCTGTGGGGTTGGAGCTGGCTAAGCGGGCAGCCCTCGCACCCTCACCAGTCACTCGGATGGCACGGTAGCAGCGATCCCGGTGACATGCAGAGCGAACGGCCTCGCAGATGCACACGGCTCCTCACCCCTTGCAACACTCTCCCTGCTTCGCCCCGAAAGTACTGAAGGAAGGTATAACAGCAGCTGATCTTCAGGTTGCACTTTATATGGTTAACTACCTGGAGTGTAAAGGCCCTTCTGATGTGAACTACAGATACTTCTATTTAGAAGCCACATTAGGGATGAAACTCAGGTTGTAAATTGACATAATGCTGAACTGAAGACGGGTCCTGGAGAAGTAGAGTGCTGCTGCTCTTGCTGACATAAACAATCACATCTTTCTTGAGGAAAAAACACCCAACAGAGCAGTGAAAAGGGAACAGAGGGAGAGAAAGGAGGGGATCAGAAGCACGTTAGGCCCAACACTGTGTTTTCTTTATTACTGCTATGTTACCTCCTCAGTGAAGGTCAGATTTGCTCTTTGTTCTCCTCTGGCTTCATTAGCTGCTGTTACTTTTTCACTGCTTATTGGTGGCTAATTCTCTGTTCTACTTACTAATGGAGCTTTTCAAAAGGAGAAACCTCTCAGATACGCCTGTCCTCCTTTTCTTTTTCAGAACCCGTCCCTCAGCCAAACCTCAGCATTTACTGTGTTAACAGATCTATATTGGTGACATGTGAAGTGAAGCAGAAGACTGATGACCATACATTTATGATAGAAGTGACGCGAGATAAAAACAAAAAAATCCAAAAGAACGCGACAAAGGTGGAATTTCATACACATTACTCTGGGCCATTCAAATGTGTTGTGAAGAACCAAGCCAGTGAAAAATCAACTGAGAAGAAAATCAAGTGTTCAGGTAAAAAATCTTTTTTTGGCAGAATGTCCTAACACTGACCCACGAAGCCAGATGTAGTTGCACGTGCTTGTAGGATTGTTCTGGATGCCAGAAGCACTCTGCTTGGCATTTCCCAGCCTCATTGCACCTTTGCCCTCCCCACTGGGCTGCCGCCTGTCCCGCCACTACCCTTACGGTATCTCCAACCCAGCGGCGCGGAGGCCAGGGCAGGGGCGGAGGGATGCAAAGCAGGCTGCGCTCCCCCTTGTCCCTGTGGCTGATGGCGTGTCCCTTCTGGTGGCAGAGTGCCACTGCCAGCGGGGACCCTTGGTCAGTGGGGCCTGGGAGTTGCTGGAACAGGGGGAGGTTTGGCTCGGGGTAAGAGCCCCGTGGGTGGCAGGGAGGCCCCGGGCACGCTGCAATGCTGCTTCCACCTGGGGAGGAAGTCTCTGAGGGGAAACCACAGCCTGACAGAGAGATCAGGCTGGTCGGGGGTGTTAGGGAACGAGAGAGAGATTCTTGCTCACCCCATTGGGTTCACCCTGTGCTCCATCACTACTGACCAAGAGGTATCCTGGCAGACTCAAATGGCGTCGCCCATCAGTAGTGGTAAAGCAATGAAATAAAGGAGAAACGGGGAGGTAGGCATGCAAGAGTCTGTTAATGGCACACAGAAGTTTGCAAGAGGCAGAAAGAACTTTCCCCTCTTTTTTATCGTTCTTTATTCCTTTAAAACCAGCAGTATGTCCCAAAGGACAAAAGCCAAAGCAATGGCTTCAGTAAGGCAGAATAAAACTACCTGAGTGGGGAAGTTACCAGGACATAAATTAACAGCTCATTTTTGCAAAACATGGCTTGGGATCGTCTTCAATGGGTATGAAACCATGTCATTGGTATCAGGGGATTTGCTCTTGATTTACATCCTTATGGCGGGAAAATCAGTTGCACATGGTTTTATTTTTCTCCTCTTCACATTAATACCTGCAAAGGTGGTGGGCAACTACCACACCTGTGGGTGTGGGTGAGTGCTTTCACAGATGGAAAAATAACCTGCTTGGATTACCCTGCTTGTCCAGGCCAGGGATAAATGATGCCAAGGTCTGCTGCTGCTGACCGAAGGGCAAACAGCCGAGGCATGGGGTGGTCCCTGCTCTCCCTTGCAGCCCTGGCCTCCTGAAGGATCCCCCGACACCTAACAGAGACAAAGTGTTGTTTTCCAATGCACGAGCTGCCTGCCTGGGTGGGCTGCACAGCCACAGCGGTGCTAGTGTTGGAAAAGGGCTGGGGTGAGGGGGAGTGGGATGTGGCATGGACTTTGGGGCCAGGCATAAAAGCATGCCACTGGATTAGGTTCGTTTAAGGCAGGGCAAATTAGCCCAGACACGTTGCTCTAATAAGGCCATGCAGGCTGAAGCTGGCTTGTGCCTGGGCAGCCCTGGGCATGAGGAGGGCAAGCTTGGGTCTGCCTGCTGCCTGCATTGCTGGGCAGGCAGGCATGATCCATAAGTTGGATATTTCGATTTAACCGGTCACGCTTGAGAAGGAGTGGCCAGCTCTCCTGCTTGCCTTTTTTTTTTTTTAAGAGGGTGAGTTGGGTGGGAGAGAGTGTTTTTTCTTGAATTATTAATAATGAAGTAAAATGTTTGCCACATTGGTCTTCAAGGTACAAATACAGCATGTGTTAAACCGTGAGAAAACACTGAAACCACATAACACTACCCTTTCTACTCAAGCTAAAAACCTCACAGACGTTTTTGTGTGGGGACAGGACATTACCCAGCTCTACGGTAGATTAAAGATCCCTCAGGTTTCAGTCAAACCTCCTTCTCACCCTGCTGCCCTCCTTGAACATCTTACAGAAGCAAGTCTACCTGCTTCAGAAGCCAGTTAGGAAAAAATAATGATGGAAAATCAGTAAAGTAACTTTTATCTGAGAGTCTCAGAGTGCTTTGAGGACTGGAGTAGATGAGTATCATAGCACCTGGGGAGAACTGAAGCCTTTGGGATAACTGGTATGAGCACTGTTTCCAGAGTTACAAAGTCTGTCTGCTCTGGGGCATGAGCATTGCTCCAGACCATCATCAGCTCTTCCTGAGCCGAGTCTCACAGGGCAAAATACATCTCAGTTCAGCACTAGTAGCTAAAATAAGTGAGAAGAGTCAGATCACTGAGGGGGCCTTACTTCTCTGCATTCACTCTAAGGGAAGCCCTGGCAGATGTTGGCCCTCGTAGTGTAGCCATAACAACTTTGGTGTCGTGACTCTTGCCGTCCATGTGCTTGCTCAGTGAATATTAAGGGTGATACCAGTGCTGTATCCTCCTTTCAAGCTCTGTCTGCCAAGGAGCAAAGAGAGGTGCACTTCTGTTGGGTTCAGCTCTTTTGTTGCTCCACAGCGCCCATGCTCAAGCACAAACACCAAATGCTGGCAGGACAACCCACAGGAGACGTGTCATAGGAAGGCTAGAGTCCAGCAAGCCTTATCTGGCCAAAAATAAAGAATGCTTACGTAAATCTTTGCTCACCAAGCAAACTGAACTCTTATTTTGAGTCTGTGGGATATTTGGTTATGTTTTGTCCTTCTTTGCTATTTTAAATTTGCATGCAACCAAAAATTGAAGAGGAAGTGCCAAAATGCTATGAGGCAAGCTGTTCTTAGTGTTTCCAGCTCAGTAGGAAGTACTTAGAAAAAGTTTATTTCTGTTGATGCTGAGCACTATGTGGATGCTCATTGTCCTTATTAACGGTTCAGAGACACATCAAGAACTTTTTGTGCTGTTTCATGAAAATGTCTTTGTGTTTGTCCATTGCTAGCAGGGAGAGGGTATTTGGGGTGATTTAAATAAGATGTGCTGCCACACATGAGTGGTCTAGTTTCAATTTTCTGCAGAACTTGAATCCAGCCGGGAGAAATCAAATTCTCCATAGTGAGGGTGTAAGGGCCAGTAATTTTCTGCCATGTATGGAGAAAGGGCAAAAGGTGGGTTCTCTCAGCCGCACTGCCTTTATAGTCAATGGGGAAAGATACAGAGTTCTAGGTAGCTATTCATCTGATTTTGGGATGAGTCACACCATGAAATTGTCTGCTGTAGAAGTTGTGCAAGTCTGCATGACTAACTCAGAGGTAGACCTCTGCAGCAGGTCAGATGACTTTAACTCCTGGAGTCTGGCCTCCTGGTTTCCAGTCTAAACAGTGCCACGAGCTTTCTGTGTCCATTGGCCAATTATCTGACATTTTTGCCTCTCAAGTTTCCTCAGGCCTTGATACCAGTGCATCAGGTGGCCATATTGAATCTGATTTATTTCTTTACAGAAGTGTTCTCACTATTTTGGTACAAAAAACATTACTTAACAAAAATACATTCATGTCATCATAGATATATTCTCTTAGAAGATCAGGCCTGAACCATAGGCTTAGTCTTGCAGTGATTTTTCCCTGTCTAACATCCTCTTTCACTCTCTTAACTAGGCCAGCTGGACCTTTATCTCATCTTAAGCATAGCAGGAGGCCTAATCTTCTTTGCAGTCTTCATGACTTTGCTTATTTACTGTATTAGGAAGAAGAGAGCAGAAAGGCTTGAAGAAGATGGTAAGTCTCTAAAGGCTTTATGTTGTTCTCCAGCCACCTAAAATCTTAGAGCTTTCCACTGATAGTATGCCTGTGGGCAGGAGCATACTGTCTGCCCCAGCATGAGCGAGAGCTTTGTTTGGCACATGGCAAATCCCAGCAGATCAGCTGCTGTTGTTGGTCTTGGTTTCTGACCTCCCCTTTGAACAAAAGGCTTTTTGCTTTTGAGCCCTTTCATTTATGCATGAGGGAAGAATAGTTCCTCCAAAGGTTGGCCCTGACCACCTGTCATGAACATCCCCAGGGCTAAATCTAAGATTAGGTATCCCGTCAGCAGATTTTTCTCATTAAGTTTACGTAGTGTAAAATTAAGGCCCCTGAAATCACTAGTCACATTTGGAAACATGTTAAGTAGTGGGAAGGGGCAAAAAAGGCTCAATTTTTCCTCGAGTTTCCTCAGACGTCTCATACGGCCTGTCCTCTCTAAAAAACAAAGTTGCTGGAGGCCCATCAACACGGGAAGTCCAACATGGAGCACTTTAAAGAGACCAAGCTTTCAGAATGGGCAGAGCCTTCATCTGTTGTCTGAAATTCAGGCCTCTTTGAGACCATGGAAAATACTTGGTCAAAGCCTTCTCTCAGTATGGCCTTTTCTTGATGGAGAGGGTAGCTTGAATTATAACCCAGATGTTGCCCCTAGTTTGGGTAGACAGACAAACTTAAATCAGAGGATGCTCAGCTGTGATTTGAGATGAGCTGACCGGCCCACCTGGAAGAAGAGGCTAAAACAAGAGGGAGGTTGTCCTGCAGCCAGGGGAGGCAGCTTGGCATTAAAGGCTTGTTTTCGCATCCTCCCACCCCTGCACCGTGCCAAACTTCCTGTGTGGTCTTAAATAACAGTTGTTCTCTCTATGAGTCTGTCCCCAAGCTAGAAAACGGAGTCAAAAGCTCTTTTTCACATCCCAACAGTGTTGTCAAGATAAAGAGGGTAAAGTCTGAAAGAGACTCTAGCTGATATCTCAAAGGTGCCTTGGTCAGGGCGGCAGCTAGGGTGAGCACAACCTGTCCCCTGGCTGAGTGAAAGTATAATCTTGCTCTGTCTGTGCGCAGGTCATTCTCTGGACCCTCTTGCTTCCCCCATAAGCTATGACTAGGAAGAATAGACAAGTACTTTGCCTGTCTCGTCTCTCTTGAGGAGAGCTCACCAGAGTGCACCAAAAGGATACGATCTCAGAAAGCTTGGCATAGCTTGTGAACACAATACCAGTGTAAACATTGTTATCTGCGTGTTATTTAACATTACAGTTGTTCTTGTTTGACTGAGATAACTGTGCAGGGATGGCATATTCATAATTCTGGGGTCTGGCTTCAGTAAGACACAAGAAACACAGAAGTGTGGGAAAATGAGAAGATAAGAGAGTGACTAGCTTGCCTGAAACAGTTCAGTGTGTGTTTAAGGTCATTTCAGTGCCCCAAGCAGTAAATTCCTCAGTCTCTAAACTAAGATGACTGACATTTCAGAAATGCTGAGTCAGCAGTCAAAAATCAGCTGGCATGAACTTACTTCTTCTGTATGAGGGGAAATTAATGCTGGCAAAACATAGGAACTCAGGTTTCCAGGCACCTGGAAATGTTCAGGGCCATCACAGCATGGATAGTGGCAGGGCACGGTGCTTTTATGTTGCTCATGTCGCTCCTTGTGGGTGCATCTCACTTTCCCTTTGGTGAGGCATTTCCAACAGACAAGAGAGCAGCTCAAGTTGGGGATCTCTGCTGGTCACTGATGGGACCTTCTCAGCAGAGCCAAGCCCCCCAGAATGGAGAGGGCAGAGCTGCCCCAAACGCCTCCATGTGCCTTGACCTCAGCTAGGGAGCCAAAAAGCTTTTGGGTTTGGCTGATGGGAGTGGGCAATGCTGACTTTGGTTGCTCCAGTGGAGTAGCAAGGCTACCTAAGACTGACAGTGGCTTCCAGGCAAGACCAGCATTTGACTTTTTCTTGCTTGGGCCAATCACTTTTCCCCAGTTGCTCACCATAAGTAACAGTGCTATCTTCTGGTCAGACTTGAGTCTGTGCCTGATTGCTTGGGCCTTCTGTCATTGCAGATGAGGAGAGAATGATGCAAATTCGCCAGGTGGACACCGAAATGATGGTCCGGGAGCTCCCCCAGCCACCATCCAACCCTCCCCTGAAGCAGGCACGCGTGCAGCAGAGGCCTCTGCCACAGCCACAGATGCAGCAGCAAGCAGTGCCCCCACGGCCCAGGCCGCGCACTCAGCAGCGAACTCCAAACCGCCCAAGAGAAAGACCTTAAATGACCGCCTTGGGCAGGACAGAGGACTCTCTGCTCCATGATTCACTGGAAAAAGAAAGTTTTTAATAGTCAGGAACCCCTCCTGCCCTAGGGTTGCATAACGCTCAGCTATGAAGTGGCAGCTTTTGTTGCAGAAAATTAGGGAGTGCGTTAAATGGCTCCCAGTGGAAGAGATTCGTAGTGATGGAGGTTCATCCCTGTGGCCATTCTTCTTTAAGTGACTTCAGGCTAAGGTATGGAGCATTGAGCCTTGAAACCTGTGTCTTTCTGTGATTCATTTGTTTTTATTGCTTCTCATTATCTTCTTGTTTTTTGGATGGGTTATATCAAGAAGGATCTAAAGCTCTAGTGAGACAACATGGGCTTATTTCTCTTAACATAGTTTTGTCACATGTCTTTCTTTCCTGCCTCCCCACATTCAGACAGCCCTCTGGCTTCAGCATCAAATCCATGATCTTCTGGACAGAAAAAAAATTGCGTGTAATTAAACATCTAATGTTGAAAGAATTGGTGCTGTCTAATGCAGAGAAAAGATGGAGGGGAGATAGGAGAGCCTTTGTGTGTGTGTGGAAAAAAAAGCAAGTGGGAAAGGAGTAAGCTATCCATCTTCTCTACCATGTTTAGAACAATAAAGCATGGACTTAAATTGCAACAGGAGAGATTTAGGTTGGGAATTTTTTTTTCTTACAGGCAAATGCAGCAAAATAGATTTCTGGGGGAGGGTCTCCGTCATCAGGAGTTTCAAAGGATGGATTAGGCAACCGTCTATAAGGTATTCTCGTCCTGCTGAGAGCTAGGGGAACGTACTACATGGCCTCGCCAAGGTCCATAAGGTCCATTTCAGCTCTGTTGTCGATGACTGCCTGCTGGTGAAGAAAATGAAACTTTATTCTCAGCATAGGTCTGTTTGTAATAGTAGTCTCACAAGCCAATGGATACCAGACTTGTCCTGTGCCAAGCAGTCTGATTAATAGCGACATTGTCTGAATTGTCATGGGTTTTCAACACGAGGCCGTTCGTCCAATGATGAGTGACTGTGTCTATTGATTTCAGTGGTAAGCACCTCATGTATTACCAGGTGATCATAGAGAACTGCTGAGAGAGCTCTTCTTCCCAAAGGGAGAGCTGTGTAAATACTTCCTTATCAGTCTCCATGTGCTAGACGAACCCTGCTTGTTCCTCTTGTTGTCAGAAATGTTCATAAATTCCTCCTTTGAGGAGCTGAGGAGCCACAAGAAGAAAGACCTTTTTAGAGCAACATCTGAATGGATAAACTAGCCTATCTGGTGTAAAAGACAGTGCCAGTGGAGAAAGAGAGAGCTACCACAGCCACAGACCATGAGAGATCTGACCTCTGTTTTGTTACGTTACGCAGAAGAATGTGCAGTCTCCTTTCAGACTGGGCTATCCTACTCATGTCAGGGGAGTTAAAACAGTCATCCTTTATTTCTCCTCAGAAACGTGGCTATTTTTATCTTCTAGTAAAGATAACTACTTTGTTTGTTTGTTTCAGAAACACTGAAGTAACTTGTGAGGGAGAAGGAGGTCCCTCTCCCTCCTCCAGAGTTCAGTCACTTAACTTTTCTTCCAGTGGTGGGCATGGGAATGGGAACGTTACTTGTCCTTGCCTCAGCTTTCTGCAGCTTGTTTTAGGGCTTCTAATATTTAAAGTTGGATTTAGTAAATAGTTTGTTCTGTAATATGAGCTATCCTTGTGGTGCATGAATAAAGATAAGAGTGGGCGGAGAGGATTTTAGCTCATACCTGTGACGGTACTTCAGTATCTGATAGGCAGATACAGGAGGTTTTGCACAGATCCCAGGAGGTACCAATGGCCATGTGAGCACGCACAGCCGGTGAGCCTAGCTCATACCTTGGGGTGATTTCCAGAGAAACGAAGGACTGGGAGCCTTGAGGCAGAGCTACGCCATTGTTGAGCCTCCCTGCTGTGTTGCTAAAACGTTCTCTTGGGCTGGAAGGTGTAGCAACAAGAGCTGTTTGAGAAACACTAGGCATTTCCTCATGTATGAGCACTCTTGGGGAGGGAGTGTGCTAGCTCTTTAAGAGAAATGCACCATCAGTTGCCACAGCTGTCTGCAGCAGCTGTGGAGGTGCCCAACCCCATGCCTGTGATATGTGAAGAGGGTGCAGGTGCGGTGGGGCACTGAGGTGCTGGAGATAAGTGTTTTGCTGTAGGAGTGCTTTGGAGGTGCTCCTGCTCTGTGATTAAGGTCTTGGTGAGTTTTTGTGAAGTGGTTTATTTGTAGAGACCTGCTTAAGTCACAGGACTAGCTCTTCTGGCTTATTTGGTGGGGGTCCCTTCAGCTGTTGCTTCTTTTCTTCATCACCTGGGGCTGGTTGTGCAGAGCCTGTGACACAGCCAAACCGCTGTGCTCATGGCTCTCTAGAGTGGCAGCTAAACAATCGCCTGTCAGGTAAGTGTGTGGTGTGTTAGGTACTCTGCTGCAGGTCAGCTCTTGCTTGTAGTTAACCTCGCCATGAAGTGTGCAGCAAGCCTTTATCCTCTGCTGGATCCCTGTTGCTGGTTGCTGATCTTTTAGGTGGGGAATGCTCTGTGATTTATTTGTGGCTGTAGCAGCAGTGGGTGCTCCTGGGTTTGGTTTCAGCTCCTTGTTCTCCTTCTCTGCTGAAGAGAGCTGAGGGGCTGCACTGAGCTCTCTACTTCATGCTCTTGCAAATAGAAAATACACTAACCTGTGAGTTGCCTGCAGGCCCCTGTTCTCTGGCATTGACTGTGAAAGGCAGCAGTCAACAGGCAGAGCAAGAGCTCTGTACCTGGCATGTGTGTGGCAGGAAGCTGGGAACCGCAGGTGTCTTGAGCCCTCCCAGGCTTCCTGTTAGCTGCTGCCTGACACCGTGCCTCCCCTGGTGCTGGTGAGGTGATACTTGCTACAGCACCTTGCAGGTGTTGGTTTCTCTTCTGGAGAGCAGAGCTGCCAGCAGATGCCCTGAGCACAGGGCAGGCCAGAGGCTGCAACACTGGGAATGAGAGAAGGGTGGAGGTACCTATTTTAGTACTGCCCTCTGCCTGGCTGGAGTAAGCACTTCTGGTTTCAGGGCAACTTGTTGAGGGCTTCTCCAGGTTATGACATGCTTGCTGCGATGCTTTTCAGCCAATCGTTTCTCTCCTAGATGCTAAGGGACTGCAAGCTAAGTAGCAAGAGCTGAATTTAGCCCTGTTGGGAGGAGCTGCACTGAAATGCAGTGATCCCTCAGATGGACAAGGGAATGCTATGAGCACAGAGTACCTGCACAGTGGGAGGTCCCACTACAGAAATGCTTATTTTTCCTTCTGTCGCCTTTTTTTTTTTTTGGTAGTCACAACTGCTTTTGTGATGTCCCTTGTTTCCTCTGGTGTGCTCTGAGGAGGGTATCTGCACCTTCCTGAGTTCTGCTTGGTACGTATTTGAGAAGGACCTCTGTGCGTTCCTGCTAAAGGGCATGTTTTGCAGGCTGTTTTGGGCGTTCGCTACTTGATTCTCTGCCGCTGCTCTGCGTTCCCTCATTTGCTTCCCCTCAACCCTCTTAGTGGCATGGTTTCTCTCTCCTCCTCCCCATCAAAGTCCTGCCGAGCGCATGGTGGTCTTGTTAGCACAGACCCTGCGGTGTGGCGTTGTTCCTTGTAGGCTAGCGGTTTGAGAGAAGCGTCTGTGGAGGAAAGGAAGGGACTAAAACTAGGACAGCAAAATGAGTAAGTGGAAGTCTGGTTTCACCCTCTTAGCCGTGCACAGCAAGCGCCAACTTCAAAATGGTGCTAGCGCTTTGTGTGCCTTTGTTTTGGGTGCAATTGTCAGATGGTCTTTGTTTTCAGTTGTCTCAGAAATCTTTTATTTAAGATAACAGGAAGAGATAACATACCTGGGTCTCACCCGTTCCCATGATGGGATCTTCCTCATGCCTGTTGGGTCCCTTCAGCACCCAAAGAGGTGCCTGAGAGCCTGCGGCATTTGCAGCAGTGGTCCTGTGGGGAAGGAGCTTGCTGGGCTGTCCCAGTCTTGGAGGAAGCTTGGTGCCAGTGACAGAGCCAGCTGGGGGCTCACCATGCTCTGCTCTCGCTTTCGACCTCTTGCACTCACTGCATAAGGCGTTTCGTTTCCCTTGGGGGCTCTCCCTGCTACCTAGATGGGAGAGTAATGGCTGTTGGAGGCTTGAGGTGCCTCAGTGACGTTTCCCTTTGTACCCCTGTAGGGGACAGGGTACTGATTGCTCTTCCTGTCTGCAAACAAAATGCTTGTGAGGCATCTGTTCATCCTGGCATTGCTGTAGCTAAGTTTCACTCTATTCCCACTTTCCTGGAGTTTTTCCCAGTGTTAAATGAGCCACCTGAGGGAGCTGTGTCCTCAAGAAAGGCTGTACAACTCCAGCCAGGGTGACTGCAAGGCCCACGTGCCGCCAACATGCTGGTCACTGTAGCAGCAAAACCTTCAATGCTAGTTGGTGTCACTGTGATTTCAGTAGCCAGGGCCAATGTGAGTGAATGACAGAATGAGGATGTGGTTCATGGGAAGTGCCTGTGCCTTAAACTAAAGACGCAGCCATGCAAAACCTCCACGATGCTCTTGCTGAGCTTACAGTTTGTTTTAGATTCTATTTTTCTCTTAGCCATTAAAAAAAGAAGGGGGGGGGGCGGGAAGGAGCTTTGACCAAAAGCTAGCTGCTACAGAAAAAGAGAAAATGAGCAATATTAAGCCTTAAAAAGGCACTGACAGGAAGAAAATGTCTGCACGGCAAGTGATTTGGCAGGAGTCTTTAGGCCCTGTAGTGAAAATTAAATCCAGAACGTTGGAGGAGATTCTTAGGAAGACCTTGGAGTCCCAGTAAGGTATGTTTGATATGCAAAGACAAGTAGAAATAAATGTTGTCCCCACCCTCTTTCTTTATCGGACATCTCATCTTGCCTAGAAATTTAGGCAGCACGTGGGCTGCCTAATTTCATGCTGCTAACAACAGCAAATATGTCTCTGGCTATTGCTGCCAAAGTATGCTCGTTTTTCAGGTTCGTTCTTGTATATCCTACCCTGCTTCCTTGTCATCAATGTACCGCAGAAATGCTTGCCTGGGATATGCTATAAGGGAGACAGAGAGAGGCTGGATTTACCCTCCTCTGACTATGAAATGTTCCTGACTCCGGATGCAGCCGTGGCTGGGGCCAGGCCAGCCATTTGATAGCTCTAGGAGCTGCTGCTCTTGGAGGGAGGAGACCTTGCTCCTTCCCCAGCTCCAAGCCCTGAAAGTGACCTTCTCCCTTGCGCCAGCTCTGCCCATCACCCCCATCTCCCCAAAACGGGCCACTTCACTCCACTGAGAACTGACCACTTGTTTCTGGCTGGGTTTATTTTTCTGCACAGTTCGAGGGTTGAACTGGCCTGTGGCGGGGGGCAGGAAGGAGTGCTCGTATGTGCTTAGCTCCTCAGAGTTGAGCATGGGAAGGCAGGAGAGGGGGACCCCTTGGAGAGAGTCTTTTTTTGACCCTGTTGCACAGGGTCACCCAAAGCAGTGGCATCTTGCTCTGCAAATGCCACAGGTGCAGGGAGTGGTAGGCCTCCTGTGACACTGGGAGACCACATCAAGAATATGGGTTCAGCTTTAGGAAACCAGCAAGCTGCAGCTCCAAAAAGAGTCACAGATG